TTGATATGTTTCACATTTTGAGAAATTTTTCTCTCTCTCTCTTGATCCGATTCTTTCAATTCGTTCATCTCGTTTTTCTCAATGGCGGCAAATCATCATGGCCAAAAGAAGCTTTAGTAGTTTTTTTCTGTACTTTACGGTCAATTAATTTTTTTAATTTTCCATTTTGTTTTTCCAAAATTTTTTTCGACGTTGTTTTCAATTTCGATTTTGGTTTTCAACAACAACGACAGCTAAAATAAAACAATTTTCAATAAAGCAAAACAAAACAGAAAAAATCTATCAACGTAGAATCGAGAGATGAATGAATGAATGGATGGATGGATGGATGGTGGCCAATGACTCAATCATTTTTGTTTGTTTGTTTGTCTTTTGATAATAAGAAAAATGAATTTGATTTTTGTCAACTTTTTTTGGCCATTCGGTTGGATGTTGTAACGGGTTACAGAAAGCATTAGTTATGATGATGATCATTGTTAAAAAAAAAACATTACCAATTTTCGTTACCAATTTTTACAACTAAACATGTTTACAGCCAGAATTTTGGGTTTTAAAAAGAAAAAGAACAAAAACTAAATTAATCATTGTCGAAGCAGCCAAAATTCATTCGAATCAATTACGAATTAGTTTTTTTTGTATTTCTATTTTGTAAATACCCAAATAATAACATCTGACCTATAAAAAAATGAAATGAAATAATAATAACCTCGATATCTTTTTACGTTTGGTCAAACATTGATAAACATTATTATTATGATTGGTAAACGATAGAAAATCCATTGGTAACAATTAAAGCAAATTATCGTTTGACCATTTGCTGTTGTTGTTGTTGTTGTTGCTTGATTTAATTTCTACATTACATTTTGTTTATTGATTCACATTTGTGTTTTATTATTCGTTTGTTAAGCTTTCTTTGGGATTTTTCTCTTTTGTTTATTTTGGCGCAATATTCGATCATCATTGATTCTGGACATGTCATATTTTACATCATAAATTCTCTATTCTCTATTCGTTTGGTTATCCTTTTTTTTCTCCCATTTTTTGTCTCGTTTTTTTTTTGATATTTCGGTTGGCTGATTGTTTTCTCGTGGCTGCATTCGACATTGATTTTCTTTTCTTTTTTGTTTGTTTGTTTGTCGATGACAATAGTCACTATTAATACAATTTTATATCAACTACTACCGTGTTCATTATTTTTGTTTTGTTTTGTTTTGTTTCGTGGATAAAATTAATCACAAATGATTAGTTACAATGGATTTATTCTATTAGAATTTGTTTTCTCTGTATCGATGATGGCTAAATCGCTTTGTTTCATTTTTTTTTCTCTTCAAATGTATCAAAACTGTAATTTGAAAATGATTTTTTCCCTCCTTTTTCATTTGTATCATTGAGTTTTTTTCTCTACAAAAAACAAGAGTTTTGATT